ATGGGCTGAATTGCACAAAACGCATGATCGCACCGGCTAGCCTGGTGCGCGTTGCCATTTATTTCTCATTTAAGCGCCCTGAGCTATGCCACTTTATTGCGATTTTTTGCAAATTTTTCTATACATTTTTGTTTATATATTTTTTTTTGCATAAAAGCGCTGCTATATTCACAAGTTTAGAATTTTCATCTGAGAAATACAATCTATCGCACAAACATATTAAAAATTTGCAGTTATCTCTTGATTTCAGAAGTGATATCAACTCGACTACGTGGACTGGTCACACTGCGTAACTCTGAGCAATGCGCACAAGTAGCTCGTTGGTTATTAACATCAAATCCACAGAGTGCAGTAATCAAGACATATGCAAATATCCGGTGTGATAATATGTTCCGCACATTAATTGCAGTCACCAAGCAAGAGTATACTCCAAACTCAAAGTATCCTACTTCGTTGTCATCGAAATCAGCAGCATCACTGAGGCAGTAAGAGTTTTCGAATTTCCCGAAATTGCTGGTTTATAATTCTTAATTTTCAGTTTTTTCTTTTAAAATTTTGTTTTGGTATGATATTTTTTTACAATGCTAAAAATATGTGTTTGATTGAAAATGAAGAAGAAGAGGATATGGTGTACAGGACAAATGCACTAATTTACGTTGTTTCTGAATAAGGCCTGATCACGAGTAGCACCAACAAAATGAGCAAGGTTAACGTTCGTAGACGGATCATTCCACGTTTTTACTGTCTTGAAAAAGATTCAGTAAATTTTTTTGGCTGAAAGTCATAATGAATTTTGAATTTATTTTTGTAAAACTTTTTTTTTGCCTTTACAGTTGAAAATATATTATTACAGAGCCCTTCGAAAAGCAACGGGTCGTTCCTCCGAAAGATGCGGTAATTCTTTATTCGATTTAAGAAAATTCGTTGAAAACAGAGCTGTTTTGAAGCTCTTCCTCATTCGCACTAGTTTTTAATTGGGAATTCTCGTTTTGATCAATTTTAAAAATAAAAATGCAGCTGAAGTTGAGGGGCTATGAACCATGTAGAGGATGAAGTATATTGCTGAAGAGATCAATTAGTAGAGGAAAAAAATCCGGGGTCCTCAGATTACTTCTTGTAGACTAACGCAGCACATTATTTGCGATATTTCGTGCTGATATTAAATTATTTTTCATAAAAATTCATTACCAAAAAAAAAATGTATTGTATTTTTAAACTGACAGTTTAGTGTTGCGAAAAGTTCAGGAACATCACAAGAATGGCGAGCAACCGACGATAGCGTGGGAACTATTCTCACTTCATTTGGATCTCTGTTGGCACTCATCGAGGTAATTTATTTGTCTTCCTCCTTTCTTCTCTTTTAAGCACTATCATACTTACTGGTGTTGAGCCTTGCCGTGGTGTTGAGTGAAGGCATATATGACTTAATATACCGGAATGTCTTATCTCATTCTTATCTCCTCCTCTGGCATTTATAGCCATCGCGCTTTCACCTGTTAGCTTCCAGGATCAACCCGGTTGCTCCATTCTGCTTACTGCACGTAATAGGGAAAGAAATGGATGGGAGATTTGCATAAAATTACCCGTAGGGGAGGGAGGGACGAGGAGGGGGGAAGAGGAGAGGAAGGGGGGAGGAGAAGAGGGATTTGGAATTTTAGCTTGCTGATTTGTTTACCAGTTAAAGGCACATCAGATTCATTTTGTTTGAGGAATTTTCTAGGTTGAAACGGATCTGATGAGTAAAGTGATCGCGGACGTTAGTGCCGAGGCAAAGGTGCAGCAATTGTTATTTGGCCGACCATTGCTTCATGTTGTGGAACGCGCAAGCACTCTTCTGGATGGGGTTTATTGCTCGTTGATCCCGTTGCTACCGTTGCTGAAGCATATCAGCGTGCATTATTTGCAACTTTTATCACTTGCAAATGTTTGTGTTTACGTTTTTTTAGAGTTAGTTTT